ATTTCCCGCTAAGAGGGCCTCGAAATGGGGAAGGGGGAACTATAACTATTGCTCTTGTCAACAGAGCGCAGGCTTCCTCCTACTAATCATCATCATCATCAGAGCCCCAGTCCCAGTATCAAGTTGCGTGTTAATTTATTCATGCCCATTCATTTGCCCCACCGGAATAGCTCCCGGATTAGGATGAGGTATTGTTGAACCACCGGGAAGCGACGAGCGAATGGGGAAGGGGTGTTTATTTGAGAGGGATGAAATTTATCTGCTTTTGAGTGGCTATGAATAATTGGTCTTCCTGCACTGGAAAAGTTGCTTTGAGGAAGCAGGGAGGGGGAGGGGGAGGAGTTCGTCGATACAATAAATGTCAACACATGTGACTGGGTTGCTCGTTAGCGGGAAATGGGAAGCGGGATGGCGGTTGGTGAGGCTGAAATTATCGGATGATTAATTCATTGGAAGATAATTTCCGTCGGTTGGTTCAATTCGAAGTAGATGAGAGCCGGTATAAATAGTAGTATTGATTCGAGGGGAGGAATTAATGGTGCACGCATGTCTATGTCACAGCTTGCCGCCGATGCTCGATCGCGGATCCGCGTTAACTGCAGCTCAGACGATTTGCGATAATGTTCTGTTTACGGCACGTCTCGCCAAACGCAATGTGGCCGGAAGGGGAAACGAAACGGCAAGTTTGACAGTTGTCACAAATGACATCAAGAAGCCTAACCGAAATCGATTTGGTTCTAACTAGTTTTCAATCCGACAAGTAGGCTTACTCAGGTCGGGCTTTTCCTTTGCCGCTGTCATTCCGCTTGGGCCTTAAGACATTGGGATCAATATGACCCGTAGTGCATCTTCAAAGTGCAATATCATGTTCTATGCAATATTTGGGGATGATTGGTTGTAACCCAGCTTTCCGCATCGCGTTTGAAATTAAAATGGAAATTAGTTTGGGAAAACCTATTTTTTCATTTTTGGGGACCACAATTTTACTTGAATCATGCAACCAATCATGTAAAAGTTTAGTCCAGAAAATGCATTACAACATTGCCGAAGGATGTACAGTGCTACAATGTCTCTAAAAAAAGTTATAACTGTTCAAAGATCGATGTTTCGAATTAAATGCCAAAAATCACTTTTCCTGCCAACACTGCCGGTGTACCAATGAAAGTCAGATTCCAAACTGAAATAATTCTCATGAGCGTAGTTCGAGAGGGGGGTTTACTATACCTCTCACTCATATAAATGGAGGTAAAGCTTCAAACTGAAATAACTGCCAAATTTTCGGGCAATCCAGCGCAATGGCCATTGTTCTACAAAGCGTCCAATGATGCGTGTGGCTACAAGAACCACGAGAACCTGATGCCATTGCAGGAAGCCCTTGAAGGTGACGCCCTTTAGGTGGAATCAGGTCAGCCGTTTCTTCCAGAATCTATTCCGAAGGTCATCGAGAAACTTCGCAGCCATTACTCCAAAAGCGGATAACCTGCGGAGACCGCGGGACTTCGACATCATCTCGTCAACCCGCTTTTGATAAAATCCTTGGTTGCCAAACTGCCCGATCGGGAAAAACGTGAATGGGTTCACTACCGGAGAGGCAAGAAGGAACCAACGCTACGAACACTAACGGATTTCCTGATGGAGATCGTGTCGGACGCTTGCGAGGCTAATGTTGATATCGATTTCAAGACAGCATACCAGCCAAGAGGTGGGCCATCGTCCGGGAAGAAGACCTTTAAGGAGACAGGTGCGTTGTACCGTCACAACGAAGCCAATAGTTTAGGTTCCAGTTCAACCGACCGGAAAAGATTGAAGCCGTGCAATCAAGGTCACAGCATGGAGCTCCGTCTTCGGCACTGCGCGGATTTTAGGACGCTTCGGTATGCGGACCGGATGAAGGTAGTAACTCGCAACCATGGAAGGCAGTGCAAGTTTGAAATCCGCTGTAACGTTGGCATTTGCAGGGAGTTCCACAATCCGCTGATGCATCCAGTGGGAAATGCTGTTGGAATGAGCGTTCCAACTGCACGGCCATGTTCCGTATGGTTCCGGTATAGCTCCACTGGATAAACGATAAGGGAAATGCTCGAGCAGACGACCAAACAAATCGACGATCGCTTTGAAACCGGCCTACTATGGAAAGCAGACGATCTACGGTTCTCGAACAGTTTCCTCGTGGCCGTCAAAAGAATGAAGCAGCTGGAGAGGCGTCTAGAGAGGAATCCGGAGTTAAGCAAGCAGATTGACGAATACCAGGAAAAAGGTTATGCACACCTGGCTACCACGAATGAATTGGCTGTAACTTCTCCCTACGAGGTCTGGTATCTCCCACTCAGCGTAGTACAAAACCCCCAAAAAACCAGGTAAGGTACGTCTTGTGCGCTTTAGCATCCCGACTGTGCAAGGGGTTTCACTGAATTCGCAGCTGCTGAAAGGGCCCGACATGCTGTTTCCGCTGATCAAGGTTCGGTGGAGATTTGAAGAAGATGTTTCACCAAATGAAGATTCGCACCGAGGATAAACAAAAACAGCGGTTCGTCTTTAGGCAATCTCCGGACGACTCGCCAAACATCTAAGTCTGGACGTGGTGACATTCGGATCGACCCCTTGCTCGGCTCAGTTTGTCAAGAACCGCAACGCTGAAGTATTGGCCGTTCAGTATCCCGAAGCAGCTGCTGCCATCATAAATCACCACTACGCACTTCGACAGCGTCGACTAGGTGGAAAATGCTGTTGAAGTTGGCGCAGGAGGTGCGCTTGGTCCACCAGAAAGCAGGCTTGGAGATCCGGAACTGAGTTTCCAATGCACCAGAAGTTCTCCAGGCCGTTCCAGTACACTTCGGGTGCGACAAGGATACATCTAAGGATACATCTAAGGAGTCATCTGGTATCCGGACATGGATGAGTTCGCAAGAAATGATGCCGTACTTGCTCGAGCGAAAACGACCGACGGAAAGACTATTTGCAAGCTGCGTTTCGATCCGCTCGGACTACTATCGCCGTTCACCATCCACGGGAAAATAATAATCCAATACCGGTGGCGTACCAACTGCGACTGGGATCAGGAAATCGGCTACAATTCTTGGGGGTTATGAAGCCGGGGGACAAGTTTATTGCCGGAGGTTGAAGCCATTAGGATTCCTCACTGCTATCTCGGTGGTGCCAGGTCGGCCGAAGGTGATTCGCTGAAAATACACGTCTTCACCGATGACAGCGAACTTGGATACGACTGCGTAGCATACTTGACAGCGGTCATCGAAGAGAAGTCCACTGCAGTCTAATGATGTCCCGAGATAAGGTGGCACCGATAAAACGTCAATCGATTCCCCGCCTGGAATTGATGGGTGCTGTTCTGGGGGCTCGGATGAGTCAAACTATCCTGGGCACGCACTCATTTCAGATTAGTAGCACCGTCTTCTGGATGGACTCTCGAACCGTGTGCAGTTAACTCAATTCCGGTCAACACCGATACAAGCAATTCGTTGCATTCCTGATTGGTGAGATTCAATAGCGGATTGGAGATGGGTTCCGACCAAGATGAACATCGCAGATGTGCTGACGAAGTGGGGACAAGGTTCGCCATTGCAAAGTGAAGGAGAATGGTTCAACGGGCCAACGTTCCTGTATCGGCCGGAAGAGCAGTGGCCAAAGCAAGAGATGATGATTGAAGAAACAGATGAGGAAGCAAGAAAAGGAGAGCCGATAGCGACTGCACGGGCTACGGCGAAGCAGCGGCAGCTGTTCGAAGCGATGGCACTCGGACAGGAAGAGCTCCAGCAGGCGGACACAATTCTTTGGCGGCAGTCACAGTGGGACTGTTTTCCGGACGAAATGAGCGTGCTCATGGACAACTTGAAGCGTCATCCGGACGGAACAATGACGACTGTCAAGAAAGGTAATTCAATCTACAAATGTTCACCGGTGTTGGATAGCGAAGGCGTAGTACGCATGGACCGTCGACTTGCGAATGCCGAAGCGAGTTCTTTCGACAAAAGGCATCCGATCATTCTGTCCCGATTCCACTACGTGACCCAGAAACTGATCCAGCACTATCATGAAGAGTTCGGGCACGCAAATTCGGAGACCATGTTCAACGAAATAAGGCAGCGGTTCCAGATTCCAAGAATGCGTCCGGGTGATCCAGAAAGTAGTTAGCGATTGCGTCTGGTGTAAGGTAAACAAGTATCGTCTACGATCGCCAAGGATGGCTCCACTTTCAGTTGAGCGAGTCAGTCCTCATCTTTGGTCTTTCAGCTCCGTGGGCATTGACTACCTGTTTGGCCGTACGGGCGGTGACTGAGTCGTGTCAAATGGCCATCGCTCTTTTCCGTAGCAAGTTCGGCAAGCCAAGTCAAATCTTCTCCGTTAATGCTACATGTTTCCAGGGAGCAAACAACGAGATGGTCAAGATGGAAAACATCAACCAAAAGTGCGTGGAGATCGCAAGCAGTTCCACAACCACCTGACACTTCATTCCGCCTCGAACCCCACACATGGGTATCTGGGAGTGGATGGTGCGGTCGGTGAAAGAAGCGATACGCGTGCTGAACGACGGATGAAACCTGACAGATGAGATCCTGGCTGACGTACTTGCCGCAGGACTCGGATGAAACCGAAGCACTGACGCCGAACCATTTCCTACGGGGGACAGTGTCTGGTGCATACTCGAGAGTGGATGATGGATCGACGGATCTTGCAGAAGCTCTGCGAAACCTTTACAAACGCTCGCAGCTCCTGACAGATCGAATGTGGGAAAGATGAAGTAAGGAGTACCTTCTGACGACCGTGAGATTAGTGACAAAACATTTAATTCGTTTACTTACCTGATTGTGTTTCTCCCAGAAAACCCACCAAACAGATTGCGAGATTCGACTGTATTCTAATCATATGGCATTTGACTTAACAAACATTCGTGAATTTACATTCTCTCAACCCATCCAATCCGGAAATCTACCGCAGGTATCTCCACTAAAGAAACTCATCTTTCATACCTTTCCCTTTTCCAGTCCGGCGTGGCAGCCATCTTTGGACCGAGCTCCCCGACGGCAGCCGTCCACGTCAACAGCATCTGCGACGAGAAGGAAATGCCGCACATCGAAACCCGCTGGGATGCCCACACCCGGCTACCCATCTTGAATATCCACCCTCACCCGACGATCCTCGGTCGGGTCTTCCTCGATCTGGTGGTGGCATTCGAGTGGAAGGACTTCACCATCATCTACGAGTCGGGTCCCTGGCTGCCGGGTATATCGGAACTGCTGAAAATGAACGACCCCAAAGGCTACACCGTGACCGTTCGGCAGCTGGACCTGAAGCTGAACGGCAACTTCCGACCCGTGCTACGGAGGGTCAAACTGTCCGACGACAAGCACATTATTCTGGCCTGCTCGATCGAGTCCATGCCGGAGGTGCTGAAGCAGGCCCAGCAGGTCGGACTGATGACCGATCACCATCAGGTCATCATTACATCGATGGATCTGCATACCATCGAACTGGAACCGTACCAATACAGTGGAACGAACATCACCGGCATTCGGTTGCTCGATCCGGAGGAGGATAAGATTCACCAGGTTACGGAATTCCTAAATGCTTCGCAGATATCGAAGACCTTGGAGTTGAAAGAAGGCCTAAATCCAGCGACGATGCGTGTCGAAACGGCGTTGATGTACGATGCGGTTCTGCTGTTTGCAGAAGCGCTTAGGCACTTGATTGGGATCGATCCACCACACCCGCTGGAGACAATGTCGCTGAAGTGCGACGATGACGACACGTGGAACAACGGATATAGCATAATCAACTACATGAAGACTTCTACGATCCACGGACTGACCCGGTGGGTGAAGTTCGATCACGAAGGACATCGAACGGACTTCTTGCTAGATATTGTGGAACTGGGACCGGCCGGTTTGGAGAAGATCGGAGTTTGGAATTCGACCGAAGGGTTGAACTTCACACGGAAGAAGGAGCACACGGCGCTGGCATTCGACGATGGAACGCTGCAGAACCGAACCTTTATCGTTCTGACGGCACTGTCACCTCCGTACGGTATGCTCAAGGACTCACCGACTCGGTTGAGTGGTAACGATCGCTTCGAGGGGTTTGGAATTGATGTTATCCATGAGCTGTCGTTGATGCTTGGATTTAACTACACCTTCGTCCTGCAGGAGGACGGAGTTTACGGTTCACTGAATCGGGAAACAGGCAAGTGGAACGGAATGGTACAGGAACTGCTCGACTGGCGTGCAGATTTGGCCATCACCGATCTGACAATTACGTCGGATCGAGAAAGTGCCGTAGATTTCACCATGCCTTTCATGAACCTGGGTATTTCGATTCTCTACCGGAAACCCACAAAGGAACCTCCTTCACTGTTCTCCTTCATGTCTCCCTTTTCCAAGCAAGTGTGGCTGTATCTGGGTGGAGCGTACATGACGGTGTCAATGTCGTTGTTTATCCTGGGTCGACTGTCGCCAAAGGAATGGGACAACCCGTATCCTTGCATCGAGGAACCAGAAGAGCTGGAGAATCAGTTCAGTTTCAGCAATTCGATGTGGTTTACGATCGGTGCCCTGCTGCAGCAGGGCTCGGAAATCGCTCCCAAGTATGTTAAGCTAGTAGACCGTTTCGGGGTTGATTAATACACGTTTGTTTTCCAGGGCTTCGTCGACCCGTGCCGTGGCTTCCATCTGGTGGTTCTTCACGCTGATCATGGTCTCTTCGTACACTGCCAACCTGGCTGCTTTCCTGACGGTCGAACAGATCCATTCGCCGATCAGCAATGCCGAAGATTTGGCCGCCGCCAGCGGAAGCATCAAGTACGGTGCCAAGCGTGACGGCAGTACGTTCAGTTTCTTCAAAGATGCCGAGTACAAGACGTACCAGAAGATGTACCAGTACATGATACAGAATCCGGAACTGCTAACCTCCTCGAATCCGGAGGGACTGCATCGGGTCAAGACGGAGAACTACGCTTTCCTGATGGAATCGACCTCGATCGAGTACATCATCGAGCGCGAGTGCGACGTCACGCAAATCGGAGGATTGCTGGACGATAAGGGCTACGGGATAGCGATGCGGAAGAGTAAGTTGGCTGACGTCGTAACATTCTTGTTCTAAGATTTGGCTTTGGAACTTCCAAGAAATTCTTCTCTTGAATTAACTTCCCTCCAACAACCTTCTTCTAAAAGTCAAATTAATTTGTCCTGAACGGCCTTAAGATCTGAACTCTATGACCTTTTTCCAGATTCTCCCTACCGCAGTGCCTTGAGCGAGGCTGTCCTGCGGCTGCAGGAACAAGGTGTTCTCACCTCCCTAAAGCGCAAATGGTGGAAGGAGAAGCGTGGCGGCGGAGCCTGTTCGGTAAGTACTGAGCGTTCCCGCTCTCTGAGACAAGCACAATGAGAGCACTTTCTATCTCTCTCTATCTATGTATTCCGTTCATGATAAACGATAACTCGGTTCTTTTGGTCAATTCAAACCGATTTTGCAATAGAACGCGATGGAGGAAAGCGGTGCCCTTGCATTGGAAGTTGCCAACGTGGGAGGCGTGTTCGTACTGCTGATCGTCGGTTGTGTCGTGGCATTATTCATAAGCTTCTGCGAGATGCTATGCGACGTTCACAGCCGTTCTCGGGAGCTGAAGGTTCGATTCCCTATCTTTCTCTCTCTCTCTCTTTCTCTCTCTTTGGATGTTACTGCTGCTGTTTATCGTTTTCATCATCGACCTTAGAATAGATACGCTACGCTGTTCGCGCTTTTCCCGGTCGTTTCGTGCACCGTATTTGACCCCGTCCCCTGAACATGAAGTCCCAATCACCCCCTCGCAACCTCCGTTTGGTTTCCTAGGTTACAATTCCGCGCGTGTAAATCATTGCTTCGAACCCTGTACTGAATTGGTCACATCTCCAATCCCCTGGAAACTTCCCTAAGCTATGGTATTGTAGTGGATTTAGTTGACCCTCCCAAGAAAGGAGCGTCCTCTTCTAAGCCCCTTTTTAGTTGACTGTCCCGAACACTGGAACGCACACTAACCGCACGCTAACACATCAATACATATTTCTCTTGCAGCAAGGCTCCGCAGACGACGGTGCCGAAGAGCTCGGCATGGACAATGTTGGTGGTGTGTTCTTCGTACTTTTTGTAGGTTGTTCCACGGCCCTGGCCTTCGGCTGCTGTGAGCTACTGTGCGAGATTTCCAAATACGCCCGGCAGCACAAGGTATGTGTGGGGTTGTGTAAGAAGTTTTTTTTTCTGTCACTGCTGCGCCCACTAACCACCATCTTCTAATCATGTAAACAAAAGTGCAACTAACCTGTAAAACCGATGTGAATGTGCTTCGCTTGTAGCATGAAATATTTCTGCTGAAACGGTAAGTAAAAATTTGATGTAAAATGTGATTTTTTTGACAGCGATAACATCGGTTGCAGAATCCACTTAAAATGTCAAAATTATATCACTTCCATTCTAATTCTATTCTCTCAATACCTATAAACTTTGTTTACTAATTGCTTCAACTATTGCCGCTAAAATCTTCACCAGCTACTATGTCGTTCCCATCAAACAAACAAAACAAAACAAAATCAGATCACAAACACATTTTCGGTGGATTCTGCATCTTTTTTTTTTCTAGTCCAGCACAAAACCCACGATCTCAATACTGCCCTTACTTCTTTCCCTTTCCCCCCTCCTTTCAGATGTCTTTCCGCGAGGAACTGATGACCGAACTGCGGTTCGTGGCCAAGTGCTCCGGCAACACGAAACCGGTCCGCCACCGGAAGAGTTCGTCCGGTTCGAGAAATTCGCTGGAATCTGGCCTATCGGAACCGCCGTCAGCCGACGGCTCGAAGATGGACTTGTCCGGCGGCCCGGCTGCAGGCGGAAAAGGTGGCCAACAGACGAACGGAAAATCCTCTCTCAATGTGCAGCTCAAATCCAACGGTCGGAAGGCCGTTACGTTGGATGATTGAGGTTATGTTGTCCTTGTGAAGGTTTGGATCGTTTCACTGAAAATTTGATATTGTTCTAGAGGTGAAATATTAGCGTCAAGAACTAGTTCAAAGTGTGCATAGAAAGATGGTTTATTTTAGCAGAGAGTGAATATGGAACATGTTCGTTGTATTTGTTTTCTTAGTGTGAAATGCTTAGCAATTTAATAAAAGCACTGTTATTTTTCTGAAAACTGCAAGTGTTTTTTTATATATTTTATACGGCCCTAAACAAGAGAGATAACTCTAAGATCAGAAGGTCCCGAAGAAACGTGCTCAACTCTCGTACTCTCTTCGGTCCCAAGCTAATCGATGCACCCCTCGAAACATAGGAAAATCCACGAATCCCTCATTTTATCTGTCAAACTTTCATAACAAATCAAAACAAACAAAGTGTAGTACTAGAATTTCAACTAGAATAAAATCGTTAGTTTCCACCGGTTGGTCCACTTGAGTTCGATGCATTCAATGAACTTGCACTGAAGAAATTGAAACTCAACTAGTAGTAACTACTTTAACTATATGTTTTTATATTACTTCTGCGTGAAGTCAACGATTTACATAGTTGAAGATGCTAATTTCAAATAACAGACTAAAGTGGTAATTGTTATACGATACATAAGGAGATGAAAGTACCCCTCACCATCCCTCTCCAACGGGGGAGTTTGGTAAAGAGAGATGATCAAACCAATTTGTACCTTCCTAAAAAGTTGTCATTGCACAGTTGTTCCACTCTCTATACAAGCAATTTCACACTGCCGTACTCTAACGGAACTATCAACTCTATACTTTCATCTCCTCATCTATCGTATAAAAAGTACCACTTTAGTCTGTTATTTAAAATTAGCATCTTCAACTATAGTAGTAACTAGTTTAAGCACCGTTGTTGGTGGTTTAAGTGTCCCACTAAATCGCTATTCGTCTGGTTGACCCATAGCTTGGAATAAAGAGACAGCCCGAATAAAAATTTCCATTAGCCCAACGTTGAATTTTGATGTCTACATCAGCATCGAAATCAAATGTATTCCTGATGTCAAACATTAGAAAACATTATGGTTTAGTTGTATTTAAGCAAAGTAACATGATGTATACATCAGAAATTTAGGAACAAAATGTTGCCATTCTAATGTCGTTCTGACGTCAAGTATTTCAATCTTTTGACAATAGAACCAAACGTTTAAGGAATGTTTTCGGATGTACACAACGTTTAAAATAAACGTTGTTTGAATGTTTTCAAATGTAGATGTTTACTAATGTTTTTAGATAACATAAACATTAGAATCTAACTTTTCAAATGCTTTCAATTATGTTTACAACACATTAGAATTAGAAACATGATCGTGTAAACACTACACACCATTGTTGTTAGATAACCTTCGCTAACCTAATATCATTGCGGCAACTCCGTATGCGTCAGGGGAACTATGTCATTAGCACGCTAAGAGTTATTAGACCACTGACATAGGCACCAATTCGTAGATAACGAGGCACTTGGTGACATTACAGCGAGCTTGGCGATTGTTATAGCATTTTTAAGCGAACTACCATATAGAGATCGAAGCGAACTTAAAATCCCATATAGAAAACTCGATTTTTCACCAGCGTGTAAAATGTAATTGACAAAAATTTCACTTCACCTGGAACTATAAACAGATACGATCCGACATCGAATTTTGTGGATCTCATCTTTTTCGCTTACGTTTACTTTGTAAACGCATGGAGCTGCTCGCGAAAAGCACATCAGCTACCCGCATAAACGCAAACCATCACTTGACCTTACCAATAATGGTTATAAATTGTTTATAATCCCTCCTAAACTTTAACTGAAATGGTTTTTGAACCTTACATGAACGTTTGTGTGATAAAGTTTTAACCTTATGTATTATGGTTTTTAGGAAGCGGACCTTACATTTTCGCAAAGAGAACTATATTAGAACGTTTTTACTTATGGTTTCAGAACATTAATGGTTATGGTTATGGTAGTCGGTAAGGTCCATTAATCGTTTTGTATTATCGCTCAACTTTACGTGGAATATATCGCGAACTGATAATTATTAATTTACAGGCAACCAATTCGCGATATATTCCACATAAAGTTGATCGATGTTACAAAACCATTCATGGGCCTTACTGACTACCATAACCGTGCCAGGATGTCGTATGCGTCCCAACGTACTCGGAGCCGAAGAAATTCTGGCTTTACCTGTCACGAATCAGGCCTGACGTGGCAAACGAGTCAGTTCTGGGGATGGTGAAGGCAAACCTGAATCTCAGTGAAAATCCTGACATAGTCAAACTAGTACCCAAAGGAAAAGACGTATCGAACCTAACGTTTATTTCCTTCAAAATTGGTTTGGACCCCGGATTGAAATCCCAAGCGCTGGACCCTTCAACGTGGCCGGAAGGTATCATGTTTCGAGAGTTCAACGGTTCCCAAAAATTTCCAAAGCCCGTCAACCCGTCTCCTACTGGCTGATCCCGGGATGCAACGTCGATAGCCTAATGGAAGCCCCCAAGCCACCTGAAACAGTCGTGCCCATTCCTGCATCCTGCCAACCGAGTCGTCCCGGGCCTGTTAGGGTAGGGGAGGGGGTCTTCCAACCGGAATTATCAGGCAAGTACTTTCCACTATCGACTTATGCTTCGCCTGATGTACCTTCGACTTATAGCACTGTGACTTCTGTTTGTTCAAACACCAATGACGAGATCGAAACCGAGACTGCTAATACTGCATCAACTACTTCATCGACACAAACCAACTACACTTCGACACCGAGACGCCCGCTATACAGCATCATGGAAGCCCCCGATCCTCCCGACATGGTCCAGTTTGCATCCCGTATCAACTTAGTATCCTGCCATCAGAGTCTCGGTCCCGTTGTCGGGAGTGGAGAGGGGGTCTTCCAAACAGTGAACACCGGCAAGTACTCAAGCTTAACAACCTGCTCGCTCCCTGATGATCATTCACTTTCTAGTGCACCCGATTACCAGCGTTGCGTGACCTCGTTCGACGACTGTGGGGGCAGTAGTGGAACCCCATCAAGACATCGATTTCTGTCGGTTTATTACCAAAACGTCAGAGGTCTACGAACGAAAACATCTGACTTGAAGTTAGGATTATCCAGCTGCGATTACGATGTGGTCGTTCTCACCGAAACGTGGCTCCGGCCCGATATAATCGATGCGGAGCTAACATCGGATTACTCGCTGTTTCGATGTGATCGTAGTGAATCAACAAGCAACTTGTCGAGAGGCGGGGGTGTGCTCGTTGCAGTAAAATTGAGTCTGCACTGTACCGAGGTATCTTTAACCGACTGTAGACAGCTTGAGCAAGTCGCTGTGTGCGTGAAACTACCAAACCGGTCTCTGCACATTTTCGGTATTTACCTTCGTCCGTATTCTGATCCTGCGTTATATTCCACCCACTCTTCCGCTGTTCAGTATGTTGCTGATCGATCGGCGGCCAGCGACATAGTCTTACTTCTTGGGGATTACAATCTCCCTCAGCTGCAATGGACCTTCGATGAAGATGTCAATGGATACCTGCCTGCGAATGCCTCCAGCGAACAAGAACTCGTACTTACCGAATCCATTTCTACATGTGGTTTGGTTCAACTAAACTCAATCTCAAACCCGAATGGCAGGCTACTCGATCTGGCTTTTACGAACGCTCCTGACGATTTTGAAATATCGCATCCTGTTTTACCTCTCTTGCCTATCGATCCTCACCATCCGCCGTTAGAACTTCAAGTTGATGTACATAGATGTGTGCACGTTCCAGCAAACGCTCAGTCGGACTCTATTGATCTGGATCTTAGGCGCTGCGACTTCGAATCTCTCAATGCAGAATTTTCATCGGTTGACTGGGAGCAGCTTCTTCAGGGGCACTCTGTCGATGATATTGTTCTTCTGTTTTACGACAAGCTTTACGAAATTCTCCACTTGAAGGTCTCTCGACGCCGCCCTGCTATTAGTGGAGCCAACAGGAAGCCCTGGTGGTCCATTGAGTTAAGAAACCTGCGCAACAGACTGCGTAAAGCACGTAAACGATTCTTCGCTAACAAAACCATTGAAAACCGAGAATCGCTTCACCTTGTGGAACTGTCCTACAAAGAGCTCGTAGCATCAAGCTACCATGAATACATGCAGAGGCTGCAATCGAATTTGAAACAAAACCCATCAATGTTCTGGAGGTTCGTGAAGCAACAAAGGGCAAGCAATCGTGTTCCGGACAATGTCAAGTATGGTGACGCTTTGGCCTGCTCTTCTGAAGAGGCAGCTAATCTTTTTTCGACCTTCTTTCAAAGTGTGTTTAATGCGGAGTCGCCCCAACCTCACCCGGGTTGTTTTCAAAATGTGCCATCCCATGATATCCACCTTCCTTTTTTCAATTTTTCTCGTGAGGAAGTGTTGAGAGCATTAGCCAAACTAGATGCGTCAAAAGGAGCCGGAGTCGACGGTTTAACTCCAACACTGCTGAAGAATTGCGCCGAGTCTATAGTTAAACCTTTGACGATACTGTTCAATCGATCGTTAAATGAAAAAACATTCCCAGGTTTATGGAAAACTGCCAAAATGATTCCCATCCACAAATCGGGTAGCGTGCGGCACGTTGAAAATTACCGCGGGATCTCGATTCTCTGTTGCCTGGGAAAGCTCTTTGAATCCTTGGTCCACGAGGTCTTACTGTCTGCAGCAAAACCGATAATTTCGGAATACCAGCATGGATTCGTTCCCCATCGCTCTGCAACAACCAACTTATTATGCTACACCAACGTTTTGTTTCGTGAGATTGAAAGCCGGAATCAAGTGGACTCTGTATACATTGATTTTTCGAAAACATTTGATACTGTTCCGCATAGCTATGCCGTGGAAAAGCTGAGACATATGGGTTTTCCCGATTGGATAGCCGACTGGCTAATGTCTTACCTGACTGGTAGGAAAGCATTCGTCCAGGTGAACTCAGCACGATCCAGGACCTTCTACATTCCATCTGGAGTTCCACAAGGGAGTGTGTTAGGTCCATTGATCTTTGTGCTCTTCATCAATGACTTGTGCCTGCAAATATCTTCTGGAAAGCTGTTTTTTGCCGACGACCTCAAAATCTTCAGAGTCATCAAGTCTGTTTTGGACTGTGTTGCTCTGCAGATTGACATCGATGCCCTTTCACGATGGTGCAAGGAAAA